TCAGCAGAGGTAAACACCCGCGTGTTACCCTCAAACGTGATCTTCAGCCGGGCCGGGTGGAGCAGGCCGAACCGAACCCCCTCGATGTCCCGCAGCTTGCGACGACATTCCGTGAAGGCCGCTCGCGCCCGGGCCGTTTTGGCAGTGTAGTCAGGGAAAACGAAGATATTCGTACCGTTCACTTTGACCCGCTGCAACTCCCTCGCCTTCGCCAGGATTTTCACACAGTCCGCTTGGTAGTGAAACTTAGCTACAATCGGACGGGCCCGCTCGCCTGCTTTCGGTTTGGGGGCTGGGATGCGATGAGCGCGGTCCAGCAGCGGCTCCTCCTCGAGGTCGAAGGCCTCCTTTAGCATCCGAGATACCGCAGCCGTCGTCGCCGCTGATGGGTCATCCTCCGGAACACCAATGATGCGGATGTTCTGACGTCGAGACCGGGACTCCAGGTCATCGCACTTATCCTCCAACTGTGCCACCGTCTTAGTAAGGACGTCAACTGTTTTCTGGAGGTTCACGATGTCGTCAGTGCAGGTGGAGACGGACTTCTCCACCTCTGTTACCGTTAGCTTTAGCCCCGTGAAGCTCTCCTGCACCGCTGCTAGCCCAGACGATAGCTCCTTTTTGAAGGCGGACAGCTCGGCATTAATCGACGAGAGACTTTCACCCAGAACAGCATGGAATTCTGCTTTAATTATAGCAGCAAGGTCCTCTCGGAGAGCTACAAGTATTTCTTGCTTAAGGCTGCTGACGTCGCCCTCAGACGGAGGAGGTGATCCAGGACAGCTCGAGGCTTCACTACGAGGATTAGGCCGCAGGTGAGCGTGGATCGAACTTACCCCTTTAGTCGGTTTTGGTGGCATTTTAATGGCCAAATAGGAGGATTATGTAAAGTGTGTAAGTTAGCTATTGTTTGCTGTCGGACTCGGGAAAAAGTGCCCAGGCATTAATCAGAGAAAAGGCTAATTCTGTAGGAGCACACCCAAACACACCTTATCTCACCGCCATTCAGCCGGAAGTCCTCGAGTCCGACTATTTCTAGCCGGAACCTCTCAGCCTCACACACCAGCTCAGGCTCCTTCCCCACCAGTGAGGTGACATTCCACGTCCCAATAGCCAGCTTCTGTAGCCGAGGATCAGACCGCCAGGGTCCCCGCCCTCGGCCACCACCCATCCCACATTGCACTCGACCCTTTTGGCCCCTCCCACAGGTGGTGAGCCCATGGGAAGGGGGACCCACTTCTCCTCTTCGGACTGTGCCCGGCCGAGCTCCATGGGTAAAAGCCCGGCCACCAGGCGCTCGCCCGCGTGCCCCACCTCTAGGCCTGGCTCCAGAGTGGGGCCCCGGTGACCCACGTCCAGGCAAGGGAACATTAAGTCCATTTATTTTTCTCATCATCGGGGTCATTGGGCTGCACTTTGTCTGGTCCCTCACCTAGGACCTGTCTCCATGGGTGACCCTACTAGGGGCGTAAAGCCCCTGACAGCATAGCTCCTAGGATCATTGGGACACTCAAACCCCTCCACCATGGTAAGGTGGCAGCCCAGGGAGGGGTTCATTCATTCATTCAACCTTTATTTAAACAGATAAATCACAATGAGCCTCGAAGACTCATTTACAAGTGAGACCTGTTTGGACAGACAAAAACAGCGGTTAACTGGACACGTAGGAGTTGGAGACGAAAAAAATTCCTATCAGACTTTTTTTTTCTTGCCTGAGAAAAAACCCCTCTAATATTTAAAAAAAACCACCTCACACAAAGTGACGTAGACATTCTGCAAACGGAGACGAGAGCAGTCACCAATGCTTATAGATACTCTCGAGGTCACTGTAAGCGTTCTGATAAGATAATCAGTCAATGTCCTCCGGTGAGATCCATAAACATTCTCGAGGTATGTCGAGAAATGGCCAAGAATAACGTCTATGAGAATCCAAGAGTCCTGAAATGATGACACAAAGTTTATTCAGCTGGTTCTTCTGGTTATCAGTTGGAAATTCCTCAGGGAGGGGGTGGTGAGCGTCAGATCACGTTGTCTAGGCGAATTCAGATAAGATGGTCTTGAAGGCCAGCAAAGGGAACCAAATTTCGATAAACACACAGTTGTTTTGGGGACAGGCAGAACTTAATGACATCTACCTTGAGTCTGTGTTGGTTCACTCGGTTCCGAAATGTCCAAAATACATGGCCACACCAATGGAACGTGACTGAGTAAAATCCCCAAGATCTGATCCATTCTGCCCAAAGCATTCGAGTCCGGGTACACGAGACACAAACCAAGCCATCATAAAGGCAAGCAGCATGATTGGGTCCAAATTTGCTGCCGACGATTACCTTGATTCTAGATAAAACCAGCAACCAGCAAAATCCAAAAAAGCAGGAACCAGTTATCGAAAATCCAATTAAATATGCGTCCTTAAAAATCCACAGATGGCAGCAGAGATAGACACATCATCAAGTCTTCCAAGTCGATGAGATATCCAGCTGCATGCATGCCAACAGGACAAATCGGCTTGCCTAAAGTCTGTTTTCTTTTCGAAGAAATGTTGTAAATTGAGTTGAGGGACCAACTGGTCAAAACAGTCCATAATTATGGTTCGGAAGAAATGAAAGAGAGTCTCAAAGCAATTTCACAGACAGACAGAGCAGCAAAGCAAAGCAGAGAGGGAGGGGAGAAGCATCCGATCTCGTCGAGAGCAAGTGGTGAAGTAATGGAAGCATATATAAAGTACCCTGATGCATGCTCAATAATCCAGGTAGAAAAATACAAAAAAGTTCAATCTGGTCCTCATGACATTCAAAAAAACAAAGCAAAAAATGTAGAAAAGTTTCGTCTCTCATCCGAAAGACTTCCTCAGTCTGAGGTGCTGTATTCAGCTCAGTCTCTTAAATAGCACCTTCTCAGAGTGGATCAACCAGTTTTGCTGCTGACAACCAAAACCAGCTGATCACATGCTCAAGAAGGACCATCAGCCTAACCATGGCTCATTGGCACACTGATGGCTGTTTACTGTTCACAGAGGGCTGAGTGATACTAGCAATCACAGCATTGTAAGAGGGGGACAGTTGAACACGGAGGCTCCACCCCTGTTTAACGATGGACGATTTCTTTTCACAAAGATGGCCTCCTTTACTCCTCTCTCAAACCATCGTTCCTCTCTATCCAGGATGTGAACATCTTCATCCTTGAAAGAGTGACAACTGACCTGGAGATGAGTGTAGACCGCAGAGTCCTGGCCTGATGATGTTGATCTTCTGTGCTGGTCCATCCTTTTGGCCAGTGGCTGTTTAGTTTCCCAGATACAAGACTGATCACCCTCCTGACACTGAACAGCATACACAACATTACTCTTTGTGCCGGGGGACTGGATCTGTATCATATATAGAGTATTGGCCAAAGCACTGAGCCCTGAGGAACTCCATGACTAACTTTGGTGTATGAAGAAGATTTATTATTTACATTTACAAACTGGAATCTATCAGATAGATATGATTTAAACCATTTTAGAGTCGTTCCTGTAATCCCAACATCATATTCAAGCCTCTTTAGTAAAATATTGTGATCAACTGTATCAAATGCAGCACTGAGGTCTAACAGGACCAGTAGAGACACAAGTCCATTGTCTGAGACCTTGAGAATAGAATAGAATAGAAACAGCCTTTATTGTCACACGGATGGGAAATTCCAGTGTAACAGTAGCAACAGCAACAACAGATAAAAAGATAAAACGATTTCACACAAAACTTCCTAAATGTTAAAAACAATATATAAAGAAATAAGATAAACAATATCAATAATAATGTTCAATGTGTTGGAACATTGATTAAGGACAGCCTATTTACAATACAGTATTATAGGCATAGTATGTGTTTTATATAATTTTATTAGTGCTGTTTCTGTGCTATGATGAGCTCTAAACCCTGACTGAAACTCTTCAAACAGATTATTTCTTTGTAGATGTTCACGCAACTGACCTGCAACTATTTTCTCTAGAATTTTTGAGATGAAAGTTAGATTAGATATAGGTCTATAGTTGGCCAGAATTTCTGAATCAAGATCAGACTTCTTAAGTAAAGGTTTAATTACAGCAACCTTAAAGCTCTGTGGTACATAACCATCCATTAAAGACAAATTAAGTAGATCCAAAATGTGGACATTAATTAGTGGAAATACCTCTTTAAACAGTCTGGTTGGGATGGGATCTAGCAGGCATGTGGATGGTTTGGATGAGGTTATTATTTTTGACAATTCAGAGCTCAACAGGACAAAAACTGTCCAAACATAAATCGGGCTCTAGTGAAATGTTTAAAGTTGCTTCATTTGACAGGGGACTAGAGATAGTAGAAGGAAGGATGGTTTGAATTTTCTCTCTAATTGAAATAATTTTATTTATAAAGAATCTCATGAAATCATCACTACTTATAGTTGTAGGGATACATGGTTCAACAGAAATGGGACTTTTAATTAGTCTAGCAATAATACTAAACAGAAACCTAGGGTTATTTTTATTCTCCTCTATTAAAGCTGAATAATATAAAGTTCTAGCTTTACAGAGAGCTTTTTTATATGTTAGCAGAATATCTTTCCAAGTTAAATAAAATTCTTCAACATTAGTAGAGCGCCATTTTCTCTCCTGGTTTCTAGATGCTGCTTTAAAGTACGTAACTCAGAATTGAACCAAGGAGCCAGTTTCCTCTGATTGATTACTTTCTTTTTCAGTGGAGCAATTTTAGATTTGTAATCGGAAGCGACTTACTGCATATACGTTTTTTTCCTCTTCATGATGCATTTTTTGACTGATGCAACCTATAGTCTGTAGTGATGTATAGTGCAGAAAATACAGTAAATGTAGTCAAACTGCAGCAGTACAGAAAGAAGCTGGGTAATTAGCAGATCAGTTCAAAGTGCAAGGCTCTTAATGTCTCAAAAAGTCTCCCAGGTCTCTGCATTTACTTTTAACTAGGACTTGATCGACCCACCCTCACTTTCCGTCCTCTCTTCAGGTGATTGCTCAGGGTCAGAGGTCAGACTGTCTGGGCAGGATAGTGGACCCCCAGCTTCTGAAGATGGCGATGGCCCCGTATCCCAAACTGAGAGCGGCCCTGTTTCCTACTGGATCCTGTGGAAATGGTTTATCTTTTGGCATCTCCATTTATCATCTCCTTCAGGTACTCTCCCAGAGACTTTCTCCAACATCTTTTTCACATTTTATTATGTCTGTTTCCTGCCACATTGAATGACCCGCTGCTTGTAGACCAGAACATTTTGAACTTGTGTCACTGTTTTCTAGTCACTTCGTCCTTTAGACCCGTCCAGGCTGTTTGGCTGGCAGACAGCTAACACTCTGAACCTAAACGGTAAGATGACACCAGAAGATATTACAAAATAGTTTGATTTCATCAACAGCTCAAAACTCTGTCCCTGGAGAACACATCTAAACATTTTGACTACAAGTGGCTGTAATTAGGTTGCTCTCACACATAGGAGTTATAAATTGTCTGAAAATTTTCATTTTTCCGACAAATGCTTTTCTTCATATCCAAATGAATGTTTTAGAGCAGAGTTTTCAGGTCTTAATGATTTGCTGCACTAAAACAAGGACAGGATTATTCTAGAAACTTCTAGAAACTCTTCAGCATGTCTAAAACACATTGTTTCCTAATCAAGGATAGAAAATCCAACAAGTCTACGGTATACAGTCTCAGGTATACCCAGAAAAAACTAAAAACACATGAACAGGAACAAGAAGGAAACTGCAAAACATTGTATTTAAAGTAAACCTTTGTTATGAGCTAAAGAGGTCCAAAGATCTGATCCGATGGTAAATGCTAAATGGTCTGTACTTATATAGCACCTTTCTATCTCATCAAGATACTCAAAGCTCTTTGCAACACAGTATGTGTCCTTTTTTTTTTTCCCCCGGCACCGCGCAAGCAGGCAGTCTGTCTCAGCAGCTTGGCAACAATGGAACTGATTTTTTTCTTGAAAACTTTGTTTTTATTTTCTTTATTTATGGTTTTTATTTTTGGAGAAGGTGTGAGCGACCACGCTCCTATTGTTTACTCTCGGGACCAGCTGCTTTCCATCTGCAGCTCCGCTGTGCCTCCTCCTGCAGAGCAACCTGATGTCCCCCGCGAGCTGAGAAGGAAGAGACACGGGAGATGTGCAGGCATAGGGTGTCGCAGCCAGGGCAGAAGGTACAGACCTGTCCTCCCGTCCATCATTATGGGAAACGTGAGATCTCTTCACAACAAAGTGGACAAGCTGGCGGCTCTAACGCGACATCAAAGGAGCTACTGGGAGATCAGCTTCATGTGCCTGATGGAGACGTAGCTGACTGAGTTAACCCCGGACTCACATATTAACATGGACGGCTTTCATTTACTTTGTGGGGACAGAACCAGAGAGAGTGGTAAGAAGAGAGGAGGGGGTGTGGCTGTGTTTGTGAATGATAGATGGTGTAACGCTGGACATTTAACCATCAAACAGACGCTCTGCAGTAAAGACATTGAACTTCTAGCTGTTGGTATGAGACCACGCTATCTTCCGCGGGAGTTTTCACACGTTATTGTGATAACGGTGTATGTCCCGCCCTCTGCTGATGCTGCTGCAGCCTGTGATGTTCGTCACACCACCACCAGCAGACTCCAAACACAGCACCCACAGGCCCTCTTTCTGATCTCTGGGGACTTTAATCATGTTTCCCTGTCCTCCACTCTCCCTACCTTCACCCAGTATGTCAACTGCCACACCAGAAATACCAACACACTGGATCAATTTTTGCCAATACCAAGGAGGCATACAGTTCATCACCTCTGCCTCCCCTGGGGGGCTCAGATCACAATCTGGTTCATCTGCAGCCTGTGTATAAACTCCATGGTGCGCAGAGAACCAGCTGTAATGAGCACAGTGAAGCAATGGACAGAGGAGACTGAAGAAGCTCTGAGGGACTGTTTCAGCTCCACTGTGTGGGAAGAGCTCTGTGCTCCTCATGGGGAGGACATTGACAGCATCACGGACTGCATCACGGACTACGTTAATTTCTATGTGGACAACACTGTGCCCATCAGGACAGTACGGCATTTATCCAATAACAAACCCTGAAATAAAGGCTCTCCTGAAGGAGAAGAAGAGAGCCTTTAGATCAGGTAACAAGGAGGAACTGAGAGCTGTGCAGAAAGAACTGAGAAGGAAGATTAGGGATGGAAAAAACATCTACAGGAAAAAGATGGAGGATCAGCTGAAGCAGAGCAACATCAGTGGGGTGTGGAGGAGCTTTAGGGTGCATTCACACCAGCCCTGTTTAGTCCACTTTAATTGAACTCTAGCTCGTTTTCCTAGAAAGTCCGGTTCGTTTGGGGAGGTGTGAACGCGCCATCGAACTCTGTCACGGAACAAAAAGGCAAACTCTGGCCCAGGCTAAAACCTAGGTCTCGGTCCGGTAGAAGAGAACTCCAGCGCGGTTCCAGTACAGTGTGAATGTAAACAGACTGGGCCCCGCTCCACAAGCAAGAAGTGGAGTACAGCGCAGGACAAACAAACACGCATTTCTCTGACCTAATATGGAGCCGTCAGCTGCCTTGTGTGGAAAACAATATTCTCCATGGTCTTCTGCCTCATCTGCTCATGCTGAGTCCATTTTTGAAAAATGACAAAATATAACTCCTAAAACTGCTAAAACTTGATGCCACTCCGTTTTTTTTTTATTTCCAGAAGAAGAAGAAGAAGTGTCTTCAGAGGTTTTTGTGTTGTTTCTTTCAGTACTTCTTGGTGTAGCGCCCCCACAGGCGAGCGGGGGAACAGGTTGGTTCAACAGGTTGGCTCGACTGCACAGTGCAGTGTGAATGCAAACGCACCAGCTCAAATGTAACAAAAGGTCATGAATATTGGTCCAGAACTGAACCGAGTCTACCGGACTATCAGGTGTGAACACAACCTCAAAAACATATCGGGCCACAAATCAAGCCTGCAGGCTGTAGGAGACAAAGGGTGGGTGAACGACTTGAACCAGTTCTTTAACAGATTTGATCCGTCACCCACCCGCACCCCTACTCCAGCCCTGTCCCCCCTGCTGTCAGCCCCATCACCTTTAATGACTGCCAACTTCTCTTCCCAGGAATTCACACCTCTCAGCTCTCAGCCATTAGCCTCCCCCTTCATTCCAGGAAACCTCATCTCACAGTACCCTTCCCCCACCTCCATCTTGTCCCTCTCAACTCTTCAGGTGAGGAATGAGCTGCGAAAGATCAAGGTGCGTAAAGCTGCAGGTCCAGATGGAATCAGCTCCAGGCTCCTGAGGTGCTGCTCAGATCAACTGTGTGACATCATGGCATTTATGTTCAATCTGAGCCTGAAACTGAAGAAAGTACCACAACTGTGGAAGACCTCCTGTGTGGTACCGGTACCAAAAACCAAACATCCAAAAGACCTCAGTAACTGCAGGCTGGTGGCTCTGACCTCACATTTGATGAAGACACTCGAAAGGCTGGTCCTCAACCATTTGTGCCACCTGGTGAGGTCTTCGTTGGATCCATTGCAGTTTGCCTACCGGCCTGGCATCGGGGTGGATGATGCCATCGTCTACCTCCGGCACCAAGCTCTGACCCACCTGGAGAAACCTGGAAGCACCGTGAGGATCATGTTCTTTGATTTCTCGAGTGCTTTCAACACCATCCAGCCAGGACTTCTGCGGGACAAGCTGGAGTTATCAGGAGTGGATCACCACATGTCCCAGTAACCTCACTGGATGCCCACAGTATGTGAGGACACAGGGCTGTGTCTCTGACATGCTGGTCTTCAGTACGGGGGTCCCACAGGGAACTGTGCTGGCACCGTTCCTCTTCACCCTCTACACTGCAGACTTCACCATCAACTCCCCACACTGCCATCTGCAACAGTTCTCTGATGACTCTGCCACAGTCGGCCTCATCACAGGTGAGGACGACTCAGAGTACAGACAGTGGACACGAGACTTTGTGGACTGGTGCCAGCAGAACCACCTCCTGATCAACGCTGCTAAAACTAAGGAGCTGGTGGTGGATTTCCGCAGGCACAGACCCAACACTGACCCCGGTGAACCTCCAGGGAGTGGACATTGAGATTGTGGACTCTTATAAGTACCTGGGTGTTCACCTGAACAATAAACTGGACTGGTCTCACAACACTGATGCACTTTACAGGAAGAGTTAGAGCAGACTCTACCTGCTGAGGAGACTGAGGTGTTTTGGAGTGCAGGGGGTGCTCCTGAAGACCTGCTTTGACTCGGTAGTGGCATCAGCCATCTTCTATGGTGTTGTGTGTTGGAGCAGCAGCTTATCATCAGCTGAGAAGAAGCAGCTAGATAAGATCATCAAGAAGATCAGCTCTGTGCTTGGACGCCCCCTCGACCCAGTCCAGGTGGTGGGAGACAGAAGGACTCCAGCTAAAATAACATCTTTGCTGGACAATGTCTCCCACCCCATGAAGCTGTTGCTGAACTGGACAGCTCGTTCAGTGACAGGTTCCTGCTCCTAAATGCACAAAGGAGTATTACCGCAGGTCCTTCCTCCAGCAGGTCCTTCCTCCAGCAGCTGTTAGACTCTATAACCATCACTGCTCCAACAAACTCTATAAGGATTAAATACATGCTGACCTCTGCTCAAACACACACTCTGCCTGTAATACTGTCCTGTCAATAGTCTGTCCTTATCAATGTTCCAATACATATTTAACATTATTATTGATATTGTTTATCTTCTTTCTTTATATATTGTATTGTTTATTAACATTTAGGAACTTTTGTGTGAAATATTTTTTATCCTTTTATCTGTTGCTGCTGTTACACTTGAATTTCCCATCCGTGGGACAATAAAGGCTGTTTCTATTCTATTCTCATTTACCCATTCATACAGCACCCTACTAGATCTGTACAAAAAATAATCAGAGCTTTAGATCACATTCATACACTGATGGGACACACATGGAAGGCAATGCGGGGTTCAGTGTCTTGCCCAGGGACACTTCAGCATGTGACTGCTGGTGGAATCGAACCTCCATCTCTCACATTGGAGGATGACTGCTCTAACCGCTCAGCCACAGCTGCCCTGGTCCAAACATTCCAAAAGAAACAATGACAATATGGGCCACCCTATTAACCACCGCCCCACCCCCAACTCAACTGTAAGTTGGTTCAGTCCAGCTCAGCTACATTAGTAACCACAAACTCTCTGTAGGCCCCTCCACCAGTCTGAAGGCCCCTCCACCAGTCTGTAGGCCCCTCCACCAGTCTGTAGGCCCC